TTCTGCCCTGACGGCTGCATTACTTGTGCGCCTGGAGCATCCTAGGATGGTTTTCGCTGCTTTCATCTGCGCCGCCTCGACTTCTTTCACTACCTTCTTATTTCCTTCCCATACTTCTCCGGCGTACTCTAGCGGCGGTACGAAAAAGGGGGGGGTTCTTTTTTGCGTGCATACCTCCGCGCAGTCATTGGATTCGGCATGCTGTTCATGTTGTTGTCGATGTCGCGTGATGGCGTTGTACTCTGGTGTACAATAGTCGTCTGTTCAAGCAGACCGTGTGCATGCGCATGATGAACACCGCCTAACTGAAAATCGCACGACGAGCAACTGGATATCTACCCATAAGACTAGGGTGCACTAACGGGTCCAAGCAACAATCGCTTATGCTGCGATCGTCGACAGCGAAGGGAAATTCAACGGTGCAGTTACTACAGTTGTAGCAAGTCTCCTTGTGGCGTCTTGTCCTCCAACCCTCTGCCAGCTAAAACAACACGGCTGTCGTTAGGTACATGACAGAGGACGACAAATCCGTTGATAATTGACAGCTTCGGACTCATTTTTTTTCTTAAATAAGGAAACATATTTTGAGGTAAGCCGTCGTTTTGAGGATCGCTCCTGACAGTCTCGCCAGAACCCACAACAAGGAAAAACATTACAGATTTAACAGCCGAGGGAGGCTTGGTTTGTGGATTTTTTTTCACGATTTTTCGATATAGCAACTTTCTCCGACGTAACACATCACACGTACCACCGCACGCACACACAGCAGTCTGCTGAGAACATGTCAGCGCGGCCAAAGAGAGGGCCAGCGCCCAGCGACAGGCCTTGGAGTTGGCGCGCCACCAACACAAGAACAGGGAGGCTGCACGGTCAGAAAGTTGGGTTTGTTTCCGGCTGGCTTGAGGCCAGCAACAAACACGCCCGTCAGGTTGAGGCAAGGGGGAGGAAGAGCGCACGACCCTGGAGGTGGTGGCAACGCCGCCAGCAAAGAACCGAGAGAGAGGAGGAAGTGCACGTAGTGGCCTCCTGGAGAAGGCGGGCGCGTCCTTCCACGCACAAGAGTATTTTCTCTGGTGTCTACTAGAAAGAAGAGCGTTTGACTCGTGTGTGCCTCCCGGTCCCAAACCCCCCGTCTCTCCCGAACGAACGCTTGAAACGCGACATAGCACTTCGTTCAGAGGCTGTCGTCGGCCAGTGTACAGTAAAATCACTTCCTGTGTCCGTACTGGTGTGGTGCGATTTCGTGTGCTGGGGTTGAGGGAGCGACGCAGACACAGACACGCGCACGCATGCACGCACGCACGCACACTCAACAGCAGCAGCAGTTAGAGCCCCTTGTCATCAAGCAAGGTGCACAGCTAGCTGACACGCAGCGCACCACGAAAAAACAACAGCATCTGCGGACAGGGGAAGTTCGTGGGAGGACTGTTGCCCCACAGCCAGTCACATGAACCGCTTAAATCTGAAAAATTCACCTGCACGAAGTTTCCAAGAAACTTTCTTGTCTCAAAATCTGCTTCCTTAAACCGTAAAATTTGGAGCCCCAGTCCGACACTGCTGCTGTGGAATACTCACGGGTGTTGTTGCTCACTACAGCAGTGCAATCCGACACGTGTCCGTGAAGTTACGGGCAAAGGACAGCACACTGTAGTACAGCCCATCAGGACATTACCCAAACATACCACACATTGCCATAATTCAGGTACATATTTCCAGTTCTTTCGATCACATAGACAACACGGCAGCACTGCAGTCTTCGTCTTGCCCATTACATACGTACCTGGTACGAGTAGCCACGGTCTTGTCGAATTTTCTCCAAGGCTGGGTCATCCGCGTGCTTGTCGGCATCTAGCTCCCAGTGCAGGACACCTATGCATACGAATAGACGAAGTGAATATCGACGTTAACATGACGCGGTTCGTGTGTGTGTGTGGGGGGGCGTTGCGTACAGGTGAGCAGTGCTTCCTACGGCTACATTTTCGGTTGTCGTTTGTGGGAATATGTTTGACTCCAAGTAGCCAACGTACCCTGCCTCTCAGGTTTATCATTTCTCCTCTCTAAGCTTGTTTCGCGCGAAAGAGCGCGGGTATTCGTTTACGTTGAGACTGCCAGGCCCGTAAGGCGTTGGCAAGAGAACCAGTATCTACTGCTGTGCTACGCTGCATTCAGTTTTCTCTGCGAGAAAAAAAGACGTTGCATGGAGGGAGATGGAAATGCCGCGTCAACCCGACGTGGGTGCATATGTGCACCAGATGTACACGCCGGTTTTGCGGGTGGGGCCCGAAATTACAAGGTGATCATACCTCGCTCCACAGACTAAAACATAAAAAAATGAAAACCATTTTCTTCGCCTCCCACCGACAGCTAGATCTACTGCTACCAGCTGACTACTGCTACACTCTTTGCGACACCCATTCATGCGGCTCTTTCTGCCATCATCATGGTGCTGGTGCTGTGTGCAATGGTATCCATTGTAAATAGACAAAAAATGGCGTGTACCATTGGACAATGTTCGTTGAAGTTGTGCGACGCAAATGCACACCTCCATTATTGGTACACAGGTGTTGTTGTACTCTCTCTCTCTCCTTCGCCTCTCTCTTACCCAACGACTCGAGTTCGGCAGTTCCGCACGCTACGTTTGGACTCTGGCGGTGAGGTAGCCTCTGGTCAGCTTCCTTGTCTTCATCCATGTACCATGCCTCGATCGCCATGACTGCGTGTGAGCGAGCGCGCCCTCTCTGCAGCAGCGTATGTATGTACCGAGGAGAAGGGAAATCGAAGCCTCTCTCGAGAGTGCTCAGACAACTTCAGGAAGAGCGTGTAGCTTGCCGGTCGGGGAGAGGGGAGAGAAGACCTTCGGCTTCAGCTTTGCCGCGAAGCCCTGAGTGTCTGAGTGTCTGACTGTCTGACTGTCTGACTGACTGTCTGGGAGTGCGTTTTGGGGTTTTGCGAGGGCCCTTCACCACATATAGGATTTACATAGGGTTAGGGTTGTTTATTGCTGGATTTACAAGGAAGAAATGAATAGCGTGGTTCCAATATTTTGAAAAGGGAGTTGAGGAAGGTGTTGGCCGCACATATGTGAGAATAGTAAGGGGACAGGATTACTTTAGCCCCGCATCCATCGGAGCACGCGCCGCGTTTGCTCTACGCTGGTCGGTTCGTTAGTACAAGACGCTCAGGAGTTGTTCCCTCAGATACAGCTCGGGTACGCTAGGTGTACTACTACTGCTGAGCTGCTATTTCTGGTTCTGTGCGATCAGTCACAGTGATGGTAGCAGGAGCAGGGAGCAGGTCCCTGTTCTGCCTCCAGAGTTGTTGTTGTTTGGTCGCAGCAGCTTCCCTGTTGCAAACGTACCTGTCTACTACGGAGTTGGCGAAGCTGTCGGCTGGCTGCTGTACAGCAGTAGCCTATCTAGGCGTCGGGACAAGTCGGTCGTTGAGGGGACGGCGCGACTGAGTGTAAACGGGAAGTCCATGAGCTGGAGCTTGTTTGTGGGCAATAATATCCTCGGAGCTTACCAGGCAGCGCAACTACCAGGGGGCAGGAAACAGCTGGGTTACCAAATAAAAGTGCTACCCGCGCGTTGTGTGCGGTGTGACCAATTGCGATATTCTCGTCCTTGCACCCTCCCCATCCATGTATTCGTACTAACATGAAGATGGCTACTGCTGTTGTAGACTACCACATTTGTCATTGTACTACATACATAATCGATGATGATGATGATGCGTAGACTCATGATGTGGAGATTGACACCTCGCATAGCAGTTAGTTCACGGTGGGCTCACGTACTGCTGTTTGCCCGTGCGCCGTGACATGTGCTGCTGTAGACTATAGTCTACATGTGTGGTCAATATCTTATCCCTTGCACCGCCGAGCCTTACTCGCTAAGTCTACATCTTGTTCCTTAAAGCGTCCCTGTACGTGCGTTGCTTGGTGAGAGAATTTTAGTCGAACACGAACAAGATGACAACTAGTCTAGTCTAGGGTACAACTGCTGTACTTCTTATGTACGTACATGTCATGTGCACACATCTAACCTGCCTGGTGGTTGAAGCGGTTGACACAAAGCATACCGTACATGACACAAGATAACACACCCCCTTGACCGATTTTCGAAGCTCGATTTCTCAACTGCAGGAACAGTCACAGCGTCGAAAAAGGCGGCGTTGAAACCGTCTCGTCGAGAGCTTTTCGAAAATGTATCGTTTCGTTTATGCATCCTCTTTGTCGTGGAGTAATCGAGCTTTGAAAATCCGTCCAGGGGGTGTGATATCTTGTGTCATATACGGTATAGTGACTGCGTGCGTTTCTCGTACACCGTACGTTTCTTCGTCCATTTTTATATCTGTCTGTAAAGTGCAACTGCATGCATGTATGTACGTTTCGATGGATATTAAAACCTGATGTGCATGCACGTATACAGTAGACTAACTGAAGACAAACTACAACATGCCCCACCTATTTCAAATTTTGGTGAGTGCGGGCGATCGATGAGGATTGGAAAAAGAGACCCTCAACTCAACAAGAAATCAATTCAATTCAACTCCGTATAGAGTCTATTGACAGATATTTCCCTGCTCCATGCTGCTCTTCCTGTACATTGTACCAGCCAGTGTTCGTTTCTATTTCTCGCAGGTCTGTCATCTGTGGGGAGTTCTCTTATCCTCGCTGTGATATATGGTAGTGTGTGTGGCGACGACGGAAGGTATCCGCATCATTAATGGGCACGTAACGGAGACCGTCCGAATCACATGATGTACATCAGGTCGTACGTTTCAGGTCGTATGCTTCACAAGGTAGGCATAGAAACCCTGGCGAAAGCGCCCCTAAACAAACAAAAAAGCAGGGTTGGTTGTCGTGTCGACCGCCACCAGCAGTACGGCCACCCAAGGAAAACGTCATTCCTCTTTGGGGTTGTCGATTTCTCCCATTATTTTTCCCCCCCAACGTTGGGTACACCCATTCACCGGTGTGGAACAAGACGGATTGGGCCCGGCACTCATACTGATCACGCGGCACACTTCCGGGTGCCATTTCAATCCGAAAAAATGCCGAAATTTCTTCGATGCCCCCCGTGCCCCCCACGCGCGGGTGGGGACGCACCCGTTTCCAACGTGTTCCGGTCGACGTTACCCAGAAAAATAGTAGTCTTCGTGCCCACCGACTATCTGGACGAGTCGGGCAAGCAGAAATGTTGGCCGATTGTGGATGCCCAACCTGAGTTGAGTACCCTTACGGCGCATATCCGGCAATCGCAACAAGGCCCGTGTTTGTTGACCACGTCATTTTTTACACGTGGTGAGTGCAAACGTTTTTTTTCACACCATTTCGAGTGCAAATGTTCCTCTGTTTCACCAACGACAACCCTGAAGAATATATCATGTGATCATACGCACACCAGAAGCGTTGTGGCCTAGCCCCCGGTTTAGGCCCGCTCCACAGTACAATCCAGCATGCACGCGAAACAGGAGCCACAGGCAGAGGAGGTCAATAATGCTCGATAATTTCAGCTCCTAAGAAGCACTCTCGATGCACCATGCATCGCTGCATCGGGGACCGACACGCACACCACGGGCCCAACAAGGCGAAACAACTCCAGACCCACTCAAACTGAATCTACAGTTGTACACAACGGGCGTGTACCCTGAAAGACGTCATTGGATCACCACCGTGTGCATCACCCACCCTACACACGGGTTGAAATCCGCAAACACACGAAACCGACTGTGGAGTACACGCTAAGCGGAAAGTGGTGGTTCTAGAAAGGGTTTGGCGGTCGGTGGTCAACCCGTCAACAAACATAATACATTCCAATAACTCGCACGTGCGCCTTACACGTCCACCAAAACACTACGTCCCACGCGAGGAGTTACGAAACGCCTGCCCGGCCGAACTATCAGTTGGATACCTTTCTTGACTTTCGCCCACCTCCAACTCTTGGGCACAATCCCAACGTGAACAATGCTCTACCATGTTTTCCCCCTCGAGCGGTCGACCCCAGCACCGTCGCAAGCATGACAATGTCCACCCTCCCAAGGCAGTCGAATACGCGCATGACGGGCTTCCGGCAAAAGCACCTGCCGCACCTCCACAGGGCGGCTTCACAGCCAGCAAAGCCATCTTTTGGGTGTTCCGTGACACTTGCTATAAGCGTCCTCAGGGTTTTTCTGATGAACCTCTGGTTTTGACACTCGTTGATCACCCTTGGCGCGAAAGTGAATTTGGAACATGTTATGGTATTGAGCGATCGAAGGTACAACGCCTTCTTCGCCTTCTTCGAATGGTCCTGTTCGTGCGGGTTCAGGTTGATCCCGGCAAGCTCATCACACGTCGAAAAACCACTGTACTGCCGCTGGCACTCCTTGCTGCGGTTCTTCTCGTTAGGTCCGTCTGGACCCACAAACATCCCCGACTGCCACATCTTATATTTGGCGTGCTCGGACGACTTGTCGTCGAAGGTGGTGTCATGCCAGAAGCACTCGTTCCCGGNTGAAACCACTGTACTGCCGCTGGCACTCCTTGCTGTGGTTCTTCTCGTGAGGTCCGTCTGGGCCCACAAACATCCCCGACTGCCACATCTTATATTTGGCGTGCTCGGACGACTTGTCGTCGAAGGTGGTGTCATGCCAGACGCAATCGTACCCGGCCACCTTGAAGTTCTTCGCGCTCTCATGAGGGGGGACGTCCACCGCCAGTGCAATCTGAAGGGCCATGATAGAGTGCACACCGTCTCCACACCCGATGCCGCAGCGAATGGCACTCTCTGGAAGTTGCACGACCACGGCAAGAGCGTCAAGCGTTAGCGAATGGATGGATACAGAGGTGCTCATGATTCATGCTGTGAAGGTTCTCAACTGTAAACCGAACCACGCAACCCAACACGCCTCGACCCATGTCATGTAAGCCTGGGGATGCCCGACATCGATCGCCCTTCAACGAAACGGGCAATACGAGCCCTCAAGAAACCATCATGAGACACACCTGCGATCTTGCGCTCTATCTCGCCAGTCGGCTTTACTCCGTCGACCATGAAGTTTGTCTTTGCCTGCAGCAATCCGCACGCGAGGAAAAGGAGTGGCTGTTGGAAAACGCTTTAATTCTGACTACGCGTTTCAAACCAGCAGCACACCGCATAGAGGAAAGCGAAGGCGTGCACGTCGACAGGCGAAACTCTATTATAGAGGGCTTGGGACTGGTGGATTGTTTGGAGGGGTAGATGGGAGCTTCGATTTTGGAACCACTAAGCAAAGTTTGTGCACCTCTCGACCACGACCTTTGACTTTGACTGCAGCAACAATCAGAAGCGGCAAAGGGTGGTTGTTCGAACACACCTCAAATATCACCACGCGTACATATGGAAAGAGAAGGAAGGAGGCGGCTCGAAAACAATTTACCAACGGCCCGACGTGCAGGGAATCCCAGGCAAGCGATTCTGAAGGGTAGACTCTAGAGGGCTAGCGAGAGATGAATCTTGTGGAGGGATGGATACAGCCTTTGTTTTTGAAACCGCTAACAGTGCTCGTCCACCCGTGGGCAAAGTCAATGATTGCATCACAAAGGGCAAACCGAAAACCAAACGCCGAATTCCTTACCCCAAGTGCTCTCAGAAAGGTGGAGGTACCGATGCAATGGTAAGAGAAGGCAACAGGTTGGTGTACTCAACCTCCGGCTGCTAAATCATCTGATCATTATTGCGCTCACCGCCGCGTATGCATGGAACCCGTCCACCTGGGTAGCATAGAGGGTTGAAGTGTCACCGTCCACGAAATCCCCCGCACCAAACCAATCCGGCAAGCATGCACCCTTTCCGTTCCTGGCCCCGCGCGCAACCACCAGCACTTCCCGCAAGTGCTTTTCGGCCTCACCAGTGCTGACTGCGTCCACGCTCTCAGCGGTGGTCCCGACAGGCACTACTCCGTGGGAAGGCCTTGGTAGGGTCCACCCCGTAGCCCCTAGCTCTAGCATGCCTGGTTCATCTTCGGTGATGTTTAGGAGCCAGACGTACGTGAAGACGAGGACCTCGAGCAAGGAGAGCACCCGAACTCCTGCCTCCCAAAGAGCTGCCACAGCTCTCGTGGCCGCCAAGTTAAAGGCCTTCGGTACTGGCCCCTGTACCACGGCTGACGCGTGCAGAAGGTCGTAGACGTTTACTTGGCTCTGCACACGATCGCCCTGGCCAGCAGCTTTGAGGGCATACACGTCCACTTGCTGTCTCTCTTTGGTGGTACAGGTAGAGAAACTTGCGGTGCTTCGACGGTGGTACTTGCGCTGTTGCTGCCGAGGTGTGCCAACGCCGGCAAGAAGACGCGTGGTGTAGGTGCGGGCTCGCCATCCTCGGTGTTATTTGAGGCAGCATTGCTATGCCCGCTGCCCCCCCCTCACCCCGTCGTCGCCAAGCCGAGTGGGTCTCCCGCGGTTTGAAGGACCTCCGGTAGGTGTTTTTCCATGTGCGCCACCGCTTTGCGTCCGGCATCGTACACCCCAAGAACCGGCGTCTGCTGTCATGTTGGCAAAGGGCAAGGGCAACACGGAAAACGTCACAGGCGGAAGTTAAACCAAACTGACAAACACATCGCCTACGGGTCAGGGACAGGGTGCGGTTTAGCACGCTTGGACGTTTGTCCGATCCAAGCGTAGGCGGGTGCACGTTACCTAACAACATACTTTTCAAACACCAAGCAGAGTAGAGCCAACGGTGACAGGTAGTTACTTTAGTGACAAGTATGTCATGCTCTCCGTCGTTCCTTTACTCCCTCGCAAGAAGTCCCGCTGTGTGAACCCTTTGTGAGTGTTGGCGCTTGCCAGATAGGGTGCTTTCTATTTCGCGTGTCGTCATCGTGACGTTGTCGTTACTCCGAGAAATATTTCAAGTCAGGTTACAATCAAGCCATCCACCTACATTTTCGCCACACGTGGTAGGTCCCCATGTTCTTGTTTTGGATACTTTCGAGGGGGGGGGGTATACTCATAGTCGTGCATGCCGTAGTCGTTAAACCATTGACCTCGCATCCCTACAAAGCCGGGACGGAGCACGCCGGGTTCTCACCGGACCAGGCTCTCACATCACCAAGCGCGAAGCGCCGTGAGATATTCGGCGAGTCGCATGAAGGGTGCGCTGCATCCTGCTAAGGGTTTTCGGCATCTTGTGCTTACTTCCTTGCGTATGGATGACAGCTGCGTATGACCTAATTGTTTTTCTGGTGCTTTCACTTCCAGAGACAGCAGTAAGCACGGTGTGACTGCCTCGAGGGTGCTTGACCATTTTAATACAACGTGGTGCGATCATCTCCCTTGCGCAGAGTGAGGGTACTCGACCCCGCCCAACACATTCTGCTCGACCACCATTCATGGTTACCGCAAGAAAAAAAAACAAAGGCAAAAAAAATCGGTAACCTGGTTGCCGAGTTCACGAACTGGTCGGCTTGTTCTACAACGTCGTTGCCACGCGACGAGAACCCAATCCCGATGGCAAACACCGGGGGGGGGTGTACTTTCGTCAACTCAGAGGAACAGCAGGTACATCAATTCTCGGAGGGAGGGGGGTGTTT